GAAAGAGGTTCTTAATACAATTCAGCAATACAAGCAAGATACTGTGAAAGACAGATACAGATACAGAGGTATCCCTATTGTACTGCGAGTAAGCTTCCCTTTGCCTTCCCATATTTCCAGCAATCGAGTGTTGGATAAAATCACTAACTAAAACGTGCTCGAGATTCTTAAATTATTTTATTTAGTGTACGCCTCGGAATCTTTTTCCGGCTTAATTGACGCCATCCGCTTCATCGAGCCTTCAGTAAAAGTGTACTGAGCAGACCGACATCAAACCTGGTCGGCAACGATGCAGCTAATCGGATGAACTAGTGTGCAGACCCCATCGACAACAGATTTAGCCGTGACAGAGGAATCCCGTTATGATCTCGGATTGATTGCCTTATCGTTGGATTCTTCAAGAGGCGCAATTCTTGTCAGCCTGGCTGACATGTGTCCCCAGTAGCGGTTAACAACAACGTCAATAGAGGATCGTAGTTACTCGTCGATATTGTACACCGCCATTTTAACTCTAGATTTCATATGCTAGGCTAAAGCATATACTATATATACATTTAGTTATGCAGTCCAGACAACATAATGGTTTTGGGAGCTTATGGGTATGAGAGTAACATTTTTCTTTCTTTGAAATTGCAAAGCCGTACACTTCAGTACGCTTGTGTGCATATAATAGTATTAACTATGTTTTCTTTCCTCAGAAGTATGCACCAACGTTATCATTGAGCTCAACGATTACGAATGGAGTAAGCGGTACTAGACTATCAACAGCGCTGTGAGTTTGTAAATAAAAACATGTACATATGTATATGCACTGAGCTAAGAAGTAACCTGCGTACTACCCCCCTTTTTATACCCGATACTCAAAAATGAGATTTGTGGTAAAAGTGGATGTGTGTAACATCCAGAAGGAATCGTTTCCGACCCCATAAAATATATATATTCTTGATCAGCATCAATAGCCGAGTCGATTGAGCCATGTCTCTCTGTCCGTCCGTCTGGCCGTCCCCATTAGCGTCTAGTGCTCAAAGACTATAAGAGCTAGAGCAACGATGTTTTGGATCCAGACTTCTGTGATATGTCACTGCTACAAAAATATTTCAAAACTTCGCCCCGCAGAATTTGTAAATAAAAATGGTAGCATAAAATTGAACGAAAATGGAACGATTTATATTTCTTTTTTTCGAACAGCGACATCAAACGACATATAAAATATGTTGTATAAATAACATAAATCATAACCTCAAATATATACTGACTGAGTACCGGGTACAAAAAAGATCAAAATTGTTCCGCTCATTTTTTTTGAAGCCATTTAAAGTCATCATATTGTTTGTTATAACTTAAAGTGTAAAAATATTGGTGGACTTGGACGGATTATCCTTAAAGTAGACTATTGGAATATTTGATTCTGTTTTGCGGCTGTTCTAAGTGGATAATTTGTTTGGTTACAAGAATATAAAAAACAAATTAATTACGGTTCTTGATTAGACCTCTTAAGTCCCAGCAGTCCCAGCTATCCATCAAATTATTTCCTGCGTTTAGCCCACTTCTTAAAGAGCAGAGCGGATTGAAAACCAAAATGTAGCCATAATATTTCCCTAATGGTACTTTCTGTCACCCCACATCTACATACATAGATATATGGTACGAGTATGTTATAAGCATATGCATAAAGCTTTTTGTAATTTGTTATGTGCCACGAGGACTGCGGAATGAAGACTTCTGCCAGTAAGCAGTATCCAGCTCCAGTTTCCCCCAAAACTTATAAAATTATGATACCCAGAAAGCAACAAATTTTAATTGCAAGAAAATTTTCGTAATTCACGCACATACAGAAACGCAGAAGGAGGTGCAGCAGCAGTACCAGCGCCAGGGGTGTACCACATGCATGGCGCTGAGACTTATCGTAGATACAAATGTATCTAAAGTAGCGCTAACCAGGCAGTGCAGGCAGTGCCTCCTCCTCCTAGCGAAACCAGAAAGAGGACAAAACGTTCTAAAACTCACTAAAGTTTTGTCGGTGCGGATGGATGCTGTGAAACTGTAACTGTTACTGGAACTTCCTATCCCCGACTATCTGTCTGCGTATCTGTATCTGAACCTCTCTCTCTCTCTCTGTCTGTCTTTCTGTGTATGTGTGCATTTTTGTCTGTGTGCTTGCATTATAAATTTATTTAGCAAAAGCGCGTAAAGCGCATAAATTGCTGGAAGCACAAGCTGCTCAAGGGCTGTGTGCCACCCCCAAAAACGTAGAACAGCAGCCAGCAGCAACCGGAAGCAGCAGCAGCAGGAGGCAGCAATTTCCATGAATGCAATCGTGTGCGGTCTGTGTTTGTGTTTGCGCGTGAAAAATTGAAATTTATTGTTATTGTAAGCTCCATACAAAAGCACACGAAAACAGGGCAAAAGACGATGCGGATGTTTGGATGTGGGGCAGTAGCTGCCTCTTGGGTGGTTACACCTTGTGGTATTTGCTGTTGAATAGCTCGCCGACAAAATAATAATGTAATAATAATCTTTCCAACTCGTTAAGACATGAAACGTGTGCACCACACACGCAGATACGTATGCTTCACCTTTTCCAAGACTCGACCTCCCCCTTTGTAGTGGGAATAAAGGGTGCGTATCTGAAGAAAAGACATTTTTGAACTAATGTTAAATGAAGCTTTAATAGCGACTAAGATCGGAGATCAATCAAATTTATGGTTTGCCTACGTTAGGTTAGGCTAGGTAGAGGTGGCTGTCAGGATCGCTAGGAACCCGTCACACTTAGGTCGGTTTCGGCCTTGGGTCTTCTCCTCTTCTCCCTTGTGAGACGTGATGTCAGCAGTTATCCCATCCGAAATTTGCTATCTTTCTGGGACATATTGTGGAAATTTCTGAAATGTCATATATGAAGGGAGAGCCTAAATGTTTTTGGCTTTTTCTGCTGAGAGCTGGACATGAGTAGAAGAGGTGTTCCACCATCTCCTCCTCTTCATCTTCCCGACAATTATGACAATTATCATTGTAGGAAGCAACCGGCCTGTTTGCATGGGTCCTATTAGCAAATGTCCTGTAAGGGAACGTATGACTGCGCTGCACCGTCTTCTGCAGAGATCGCAGAGCCCAGAGGTGCGCTTTCTATTTATGTTCGGCCATGTTTGCCGAGCTATGCGAAATCGTAGCCCTAATTGCCACCAATTCTCTTTAGTTGCTTGAATGGCTCTTTTATGATGAGCTTACAGGTGGCCATTGAAATGCGAATATCCTCCTCGTCGTGGCAGCCCCCTTGGCTTGTAGTGCCATGTCTGGCCGGTTCCTCTGCCATACAGTTGATCGTGATTTGATTTGATGGCAGCTTGGCTGTCGCTTCAGATGTTTCATGCCGCGGCAGTTGATGCAGCGGGGTGGGGTTCCTGATCCGGCAACAGATCCTACCTGGGTGAAGCGGGTGATCTTCTGGGGAGCTTGCTGGAGGGCCTAGTCGATGGAAGACGGATCTGTCGTCGACATAGATGCGGCTGCAAGCGACTGGTGAACGCTGCTGGCCGTGACAGTAGCACAGGCTGAGGGGTGGCTGTGTCTGGCTCGCTTCGCAGCCGGCGACGAGGCGGTGGACTGGCCTAGGAAGGCCGCCGATAAGGAGGTGGCCGTGAAAGTGACGGTGGACTTGGGATAGAGCGAGGAGTAGGTCCCAGCGGAGAAGCTACCCTGCCCCGGCTGGCACATGTTGCTGGCGAACTGGGAAGCGTGGCGGCGGCGCGTTCGAGAGCTGCCCAGCGATCGGGGCACCATCTTAAAGTGCTCTGAGTTCTCTATTAGGAACGATATTCATATTAGCTATCAGGTTGTCCGCCGTGTAGCCGTCCTCGCACAGGGCCTCGCATTCCACGGCAGGCTGTAGCTTAGTACGTCGTCCGCGTACGTTCCTGGTAGAAGTCTAAATTAATCCCCTTTTAAAATAAATTAAATGCTTTAATTCTGTTTCGTTTCGCAGATTTTACCATATTACTAGATTAAGCGAATGTCGACTTCTGTTTCGTATACTTTTACGACCACATATTTCTCTCATTATTAAAACTCGATGAACCCCATCTTTTGAATTGAACATCGAGCTAAAAAAATGCTATCTAATCGCCTACAAAATCGGGACAATTTTTATTCGTATCTTTTTTTACATCAAAATGAAGGGCGGAAAGGCGCATATGTATACATATATCATTATAAGAAAATACTAAGGCAGAACGGATAGTACATAAATCATGTAAAAAGTGGACCTTAAGATGTATATTCAGACATAAATAAGAAGTCTTGAAACGAAAAATATTATTAGAAATGATATTAAGGAACGGACCAGATATTAAGAACGGACCAAAACATGATGATTCCAAACGATCGACAGCAATGGGTTACAAATCTTCGACGAACAGCAAGTATTAATCGATGAACAGGCAATATTAATAATTTCCCTGGATATTTTCAAATTATAAATTGATGTGCCGCCCCAGCAGCGATGGGGAGCACTAATGAATCGGATCTTAAACACACGCTGACCCCAATACGGAATGCCAGAGTACCTTTTCTATGGCTGTTTTCGATTTGGGCGCCAGCCATTGCATTGCTCTGCTGTCGTCGGTACCCTCGGCCCCTCGGTCCCTCGGTCCCTCTGTGCTCTATCCTCTTCGGGGGCCACTTGTCAGCTCTCTCTCTCCCTCTCTGTCTCTCCTGCGTTCCTGGGTGCCGCACCTGCTGCTTCCAAAATTGTTTTTAGCCATTGTCAAAACACAAGAAATCCATTTGAGGAAACGCTCGAAATCTGTTTGAGCATAGAGAGCGAGAGAGAGAGAGAGAGAGAGAGGGAGGGAGATGGCAGCTCAAAAAGTTTAAATTAATTTATGGGCATAAATTGACTTAATTAAATGAAAGGAATCCTGCAGGAATTATGAAATCAATCAGTGAAGGACTCTACACAATTGAAAAACGAAGGAATACGAATAAATCTTTTGCGGCGCCAAATATTTGTTTTTTTAACTACAAATTTAATTTTACACAATCAATCGAAGTTCAAGGAGAGGGGAGGTGTGATTCAGTGGGAAAAGTGCTCTTCGGATATGTCTGTCTGAGGTACTTGGGCCGCTAGCGAATTCGATGTTTCCCGTTTGTCCGGCTTCTCTTGTGCATTGGGGGATGGCTCCTCCAAGATTTTGCATCTCTCCTGCGGAGAGGTGGATCTTTAATGAATTTCACGAATGGTTTGACTGGGCAACCCACTTTGTATAGCTGGAAGAAGGGCACCATCAGAGTGGGATTTCCCATGTCATGAGTGAACTGGCACAATGCCTTTAATTGTGTGTCATTTGGGTCCGGTGAGTAGCCGTGCTCCTTTCGCCAGCGAGCGCAGTCGTCACGTGTACACTGGTTTTGCACCAAAAACTCTTCCATTTTATCGTTGCAGCTCAGGGGCGGGGCACAATCGATGGCCAGCGACGCCTCTTGCGCTTCGCTCCTTCTTCGGAGGCATCTGGGCGATGCCGATCCAGGCCTACTCAACTGCACGTGCGACAACCAGGCGGTCGTCGATTGCCTGCACAGCGTATTGGTCGCGGGGCTGCTTGTGGCGCTGATCAACGGCGAGTTTCTGGGGGATGTGGTCGGACTGTCCGTGAACGGCACGTATATGTCCGATAAATTATCGGTATCGTCGTCAGTATCCGTGCCTTCAGGTGCCTCTCGCAGAAGTTCTCTAAACCAGTCGATATCATCGCTGGACGATCGCCAATCGATTTCATCGCTGGACGACATTGGCAGGTCATCGGACATCTCATCAAAGGGGATATTGTTGGGGTGATCGCGTTGCGGGTCCCACAGTGGCTCCCAGAGCTTTGTCAGGTCCTTTTCCTTGGAGCGCAACAGGTCTCGATCCTCTTGCGCCAGGGAGATCGCAAAGCTGAGAAATTGCTTGGAGGACAGGTCGACTTGGGGGGGCGGAGTGCGATTGTGGACATGGTAGGGGCAGTTCTCGTCGCAGATCCACTCGCGCGGTGTCTCCATTTGCAGCCTGCAGGCCTGGATAAGGGCCATAAGCACCTGATGGTTATCGAACTGAAGGCACAGATTGGCCACTCTCACGGCCTTGTTGACACGCTCCCAGAGTCCGGGGCAGTAGGCAAAGGCCCGTAAGATAATTGGATCCCCTCTCACTTGGAACCACTCCAGGGGCAAGCCCCATCGGGCCGAAAACAGGCAAAACCACATCTCCAAGAGCTTCGGGCGGGGCATTCGAGTAAAGCGCACGCATTCCATCAGGCGGGGCAAGTCGGACAGCCGCTCTTCGGGATCGATGCACATCCAGCGGAGGGCACCGTAGAAAACCTCAAGTTCTGTATTGACGCCGATTGAGTCCTGCTCCAACAGGGTGCAGATGTCTTCCAGCGGCATTTCGGTGTACTCCTGACTACCGACCATCGTCAGGTAGTATTTTCCCACACGCTTCAGCATCAGCTGGCAAATGCTCCCCATGTTGCCGTAATGCTTCGCCCGCACGTAAACCTGCAGGGCCCGGCGCTCCGTAAAGTGGGATGAGCAGAGGTAGCGGTTGCATAGCATCTCCAGGTCGCGAATGTCCAGATGCTGGGCGGTGAACAGAAGATCCACGATCTGGTTGGGCTCACTGTGCTCGCTTTGCACGCTGCAGTTCAGGGGCTCCTGGAGGCGCATCCAGGCGTAGGCGGCCCGAAAGCCAATCGGCGTCAGCTCTGGCAGGCTGTACTCCTCCCGTGACTGGGGTCTAAAGAATCCGCTGTGACGATTCAGCAGCGCACCAATACACCAGAAGGTTGCCGGCCCGACCTTCACACGCACGGTGGCCCCCAGATTACCCTGAAGCATCCGCGTCCAGTCCTCATCAGAGCTGCACTCAAGGGGCCTTGCGCTTCGCACGTTGATCGTCAGGAAGCGGGCATCGGACCAGGGCATCTCTTCGACCAGGGTCTCCCTCAACTGCTGGCGCCGCTTGTCCCGTTCGTCCACACGGGTCAGATACTCCAGATCGGTCTCGTATCCCAACATCTGCTCGTCAATCTCCCGCTCTGCATCCTGCTGGTTATGTACTATAGCATGCCAGTCGCGCTGGTCAAAGGGGGTCTCCTCCTCCACCTCATGATATTTCTCCTCCTGCGAAGTCTCTTCGAATGAGGCGTGGGACTGGGTCTCTTCGGACTGTGCCTTGAGCTCCGTCACTTCCATGTCTATGGAAAACGTCTTTATCTGAAAGCGGAACTCAAATTAGTTTCCAGCGATCACAACGGGGATTGGGGATTGGGGTTTGGGGTTTGGGCGGTGGGTATTGAAATTGGATTTGAGCCACTTGCAGGCATTTTCAATTACATTTCAAGAGCGCGACAATTAATATCCGGACCAAGACCACGGACTCTGTATGAGAGCAAATCGTTCGACTTCCGTTAAATTAAAAATACACGCCCGAGGGCATGCCCTGCGCGATTTTTGTATTTATTTTTTTTGCGGCTATGTTGTGTGTGTCACGAAAGGGGGTGTTGGGGGAGTTCTGCGCTCTTACCTTATTCAAAAATCTAACGAAAATATAGAAGTGAATAATCCTAAAAGTATACTACGCTCCGCTTTAATATTTTTGAGTCTATACGGAAAGGTTGAATGGGGAACGAAAAAGCAAAAGCATCTATCTCCCTTTAAAATTATATATGCGTATCTGAAGCATTGTATCTGGTTTATTGGGATCCTTAATCATTCTCGACACAACAAGCTGGGAGTGTTTAGTTATTCTTTTTATACCCGATACTCCAAAAAGGGTATAGACCCCGTAAAGTATATAAATTCTTGAGAAAACGATCATATCTTCCAGACTGCAGAATCCGAATCAGATCAGATAATTATTACACCCAGACAGAAAAAATAAAATTTCAGTGGCTACGTACCGTGGCCACCCTGCTTACTCATATTCTGTCTCTCTCTCACACACTCTGTGTCGTGCATTATGTGCGGCCTCCGGCGGAGGGGAGTCATTCTAACTAAGTATCTGTTATATATGTAGAGTCGCGGCCGTAGCAGCGACTCACAACGTTACCCCTCGCTTTAGCTAATTTTCTGTTCTAAAATCAATTGAATTGAAGCGCATTCCGGACTCACGCTGGCCGTTTCTGGCCATTCATCCCTGCGCGTGATGGCACTTAATGATTGATTTCTCATTCCAATCCAATCCATCCACCACAAATCCAATCACTCGCCCTTTGGTCCCGCTATAATGGAATTTTAACACAAATTAGTTGTACTGCTTAAATGCCTGCCTGTAATTTGGTAATGCCAAGTGCCAGATACAGGAGGCAGGAAATAGCGAGCAAGAAGCTAGACCAGAAGCAGAGCCAGAAACCAAGCCGGAGGCATTTTGGTAATTACGACCAAATTTGCGATGGACTCTCACCGCAAAAGCAATTTATTTGGCGGAATGGCATGGCACTCGGTCCTTCAGCGAATGTTTTCCCAACCTAATCTCTCGCTCTCTTCATCTCTATCCTCGCTCTCTGGTAAGTCATATTCAATACTTTCTTTTCCTTGCAATGAAAACAAATCAATAGCAACAAGTGCCTCCTGCAGCCGAAATGAAATCATTTAACCTCGGGGGTCACGCAGAAGCCGAAAATGGAACCCAAACGGAGGAGGGTAGCGCCACAAACGAAACGGGAAGGAGCGAATCGAAATAATATTGAACATGATTTATGCCATTTCACATTGCTCTTAAGAAAAAATATTAGCAAAAAACCTGCGGCCAAAAGCGATTCAATTTGTGGACAAAGGAGAAGCAGTAGTAGCAGGACGACGCATAGCTCTGGATGGCCTGAAGAACCAATAAAGTATCGGAAAAGTAAGAATGATGTAAGATGAAGCAGGACAGAAGGAAAATGTATGATCGGAAATTGTTATAAAGAATAGAAAATTAAGATACAGCACAAATATAGAAAAGAAGGGATTTGTTAAAATATAATAAAAGCCTACACATGTGAAGGAAAGATAAAAGCTTGTAACGATCGAGGGGAAAACCAGCAGAAACAATGCGAGAACAAACAGAATTCTGTCTTTTAGAATGTTTAAATATGGCAAAATTAGATTTAAGAGCATGGATCATCGATAAATTATAAAGGAAAAACTAACTAAAAAAACATTTCACTCTACCTCATTGTACAATGGAATATACGAATACATATAGTAGAGAGAGTTTTTGGATCATTGGTGACCATCCATTGGGTGAATAAGAGATCTCTACTAAAATATGTAAAAGACAAACGACAAATGAAAAATTATATTAATTTTCTGGGGAGCATGAGCCAAAAACTCCAACTCCAACTACCGACTTGCTCCTGGCTCCTGGCGCCTGGCTACTGGCTCCTGGCGAGCACGCTCCAAAAGCAATATGGAAAAATCTCATAAACCCAAAGGGTTTCCAGGCATTCCGGCACGTTGGCAATTTATTTGGCGTGGCTCCTACTGCTTCTTTTCGTCTGCAGGGACAGGGAAAGGGACATGGCCAACTATTTAAAAGAACACACAATAGGAGAAACAGTACGGGGAGGCAGACCCAGGCAGAGGCGATTTGGGGCATGGTGGAGGCGTGATTAATGCCCGTCGTGGGCTTTTGTGCCTTCGTGTGCAAATTTCGTGTAATCTACTTTAAAGCCCGAGCATTGCATAATTTGAGGCAAGAGACCGGGACCTGGCCTCGAAGCACTTTCTGTCCCTCTCTCTCTTTCTCTTGCTGCCATTCCTGTTCCTGAACCACGGATTAGCTGGCCAGCAGGAGCAGCAAGGAGCTGGAGCAGAATAGAGAGGCTGCAAGATATAGGGGCAATATGGGATTGGCTCCGTGTGGGTGATGTGGTTGCAATCTCCCAGGCAACCGCCAGAGCTATGGAGTGTTATTAAAATCATATCTGACAGGCACATTTGTCTTTTGTAGTACTCTGTACCTGTACGTTGTACTTGTTACCTTGTAGGTGGAAACTGGAAGATGGGCTTAAATTGTGGCTGGTGGATGTTAAAGCAGAGCCAAAGCAGTGCTCTATATGAGGCTAAGAAATAGGTTAAGTGGCGCTTCCGCTTTCGCTTCAGATGAAGTCCAGTCAAGAGTCATAGTGTCACAGTTTACAGTGATACATGATAAAGTGAAAGCTAAGGTTCAGGATAGGGAATTCAAGAAGGAACACACTGAAGAAAATATTGCCAAGCTCCATAGCGTTGAGCTTTAAGTGAGGGAAGTATTACCCAAAAGAAAGAAGATTATTACCTAGCCTGAATAGTCGAGTCGATATAGCCATGTCTGTCTGGCCGTCCAGATGAGCGTCTAGATCTCAGAGACTACAAGAGGTAGAGCAAACAAATTTTATATAGTCTGACATCACGCTCTTACAAGTGTACATATTTCGAAATACCCCAAAATTACCCAAAATATAAAACAATTAATTTATTGATAAGAGAATTGCACGATCTTTCATAAGATTTTTTATTTGTGTCAATACAATGAAAATTCCTGAAGATTTATCGGCCTCAAGAATAAGCCTTTAGACTGCTTCAAAAGTACGCCCACAGGGACGAAGATAAATCCGATTTGACGGGCTTCCAAATCACTGGACTATCGTTGGAGGGGGCATGGGCATGAGCATAAAATTGTCAGGCAGCCGCATAAACATTCCAGCAATATGGTGACCCCGACCACAGACTTCCGGTTTACAACTTGCACTTTGAGAGAGAGAGGGAGAGAAAGAGAAAGAGATAGAGATAGAGAAACCGAGAGATGGTATGGGGATAGGGCGAATGTGAGCGGTTGAAGGTTTGTCGCGGTCTGTCCTTGTCGTTTGCGTTGTTGTGTTGTGGTGTCGTGTTGCGCGGTTTCTCTATAGTGGTCGTAAACAATTTTTACAGCCCCAACATTTGGTGGCGCTTTGGCACCCCTTACCCCGTGTATTACCAGCCGTCCTGCCTGTCAGTGGCCTGTGCCATTTTATTTATATTTTTATATTTATTGTGTTTATATATTTAAACACACAAAACGGCGCACAGCATTTTAGTTAACGCTTAGCGCCATTTCCACCTCCCCCCATTTCGTTTTCAGCCAAGGCCAAGTGGCAGTCTATGGAGGCGGGTGGGTGGTATGAGCCACGCAGAGTACGGGAGCACGGCTGTAGCTGACGCTAAGTAGTTGGAACCCCATATTTCCCCGCGACTCTCTCCAAAAGAAATTTTTGTTTGGCTCTTGCTGATTTTATTTGCTGCTCTTTTTCTACTTTTCCTTTCTCACTGTTCCTCTTCCCTCTCTCACTCCCTTACTCTCTCTTTTTAACTATTCAGCCCTCCCCCCTGCCACCTTCTCTATTCTCTGTTTTTCTAGAGAAAAGTTTGGCGCATTTATTTGCGTAAATGGCAGGCAGGCCCGCAAATCTTGTTGCATACTTTTTGGGGCAGAAGCCATTCCGTCCTCATTCCGGCTGTACCCTGCCGTCCTCGTCCTGCCTCCAAAAAAGCGTTAATTTATGCATGTCACTGACAGCCAAATCGGACCATGAACGTTCCTGGTCCACGGAGGACCGTACAGATAAGGTTAAGCTGTGTATAACGATTAACCTGGAAAAGAACTGACCGAGAAGTGGTCCATTGAATAAGAAAAAGTTCATTGAACTACCATTAAAGTTTAGCCCTAGATAAAAAAGAGTATATAAAAATGCGCAACAGCTTATGGAATAATTAAGCTTTGGAAGAAGGCTCTACAAGTCTCTAAACAATATGTCTTTGCTCCTGATTATTCCTGACGATATATTATCTGCCTGATGCCCTGAGCTTCCTTCCGTGATTTCCTATAGGGTATGTACATGTCAGAGCACCACTCGAATTGACATTGAACATATTTTAGGCCACCCATCGGATCAGTCAGGGTGAGGAGGCGGGAGGCAGAAGCCAGTCACGGACTCAAGTGTCAGCGCCGTCTCTCCTGTCGCCTGTCGACGTCGACTGCCGCCTGTCGCCATTCTCATTCCCGTTTATTGCTTTGCACAAAATTTTCTGGTTAAAAAAAAGGAAATGGGGAAATGTAAATGAAGAAAATGAGTTGCACAGAGCACAGAGTAGACAAAGATAAACAAAAATAGAATTGTCCAATTGCAGGTCCAATGTTCAGAGAAGAAGGGAGGCAGAAGGGTGAAAGAGACAGTGAAACCGATTCGACTCTGCTAAGA